CTTTGCCTTCAATCAATTTCCTATGAGCACCCTCAAATCATCCTCTCATGAAAATTATCAAAACCCCGATTTAAGAGGGTGTTTTCAAATCTGGTGGTCGAACATTGATCTTTTGGATGTGAATTTTTATGGGCACGTTCACATCATCTTAGGGAAGGCGCATGCAAAATTTCAGCTCATTTTGACTTTGTTTGATCAAGTTATGACCTTTTCTATCTCGGATTGACATGCTGAAAACAGGGTGTCCATACCAAGGGGCTGTTTGGTTGCCACCCTCGCCTGGGGAGCGACACCAGACAACAGCATCCGACCCTAGGCGGCGTTGATGCCTGGCGAGGCACGTTTCCTAGAGTGGGAACCAAATGGGCCCCAAAACACAGAACCTCCACACTCTGGGTGATGAAAATGGTTTTTCTTGTGTTCCTAGGTGCTTCCCCGACTTGCCCTTACTTCCGCTTGATGTTTAGGATCTCCTAGCTCCAAGTCCTATTGTCACGTTATGGTCATTGGGACTTGAATTTCCTAGTGGAGAGTTTGGTTGGGTTGCAATCGGGACATAGGTTAAATTTTTGCAGAGAATTTTAATTGTCACTTCTATTCACCCCTATCTGATCTCCGTTTTGGTTTTAACAATATCTTATTGGGAACACAAAGATTTCATAAATTAAATAAACCTTTTGTTCTCCAGACGGGAAGGTTGGTTTAACAATCCCGTTTCTCTGAAGTACAACAAAGTTCGTGTACTCCTTCCAATTTAGTTGTTCCTTTCTTGACATCTGTTCGCCGTTTATCATTTTTACAGCGTAGTGGCGTGTTCACAGTGATCATACTGAAAGATCAATTGCAGTAAATAAAAGGGACTCCAACCATAAATTTGAGTTTTGCTCAAGGTCACTCAGTGCTATCAATAATACAACGGATAAGCTTGAAGAAGATTGGGCATCAATGGATCGAATGTCATCATGCACATTTGACCAAGTATATATGAGCAAGAGAGACGACTGAACACACCTGAGTCACCGAATTAGCTTAGAGAGGTGATGCCGATCGATTTTGTTGAATTTGGAGATGACTTGGCGTGTGGTTTGTCGTGGCAGGCATGGTTGTGAGAGGTAGGACACAAGCATATTTATAACCGAGTCAGGTAAAACAAACATGGCATCATGGAGAAGGATCATTATAATTTGTCACAAACATAAATAAGACACCTAACTTTTTGTTGCAGCATGGGTGGTGGTGCGATGCTTGTGAAACGGTGCGTGTTGAGGTTCCAATCTAACGAGCTATTGCCTATAGTTGCTTTAGGTGCTAGTTGATTGGTTGTTGCTTTTTGTTGTTGTCGGGCTCTTTTGGGGTTTCTTGTTGTTTGTCTCAGTTTCTCCTTTTTTTAATATAATCGGTATAGTCGACAGCTCACTTGCCTGATTTATATAAAAAAGGCAGCTAACTTCTCCAGATTTCTTGCAAGCAATCGGCAACGGGCAACGTGTGTAAAAGAGCTACGTACGAAACAGCACTTATGCAAGCTTCCTAAACCACATAACCTCTGCAATCCTTTATTCCTGGCTTTGATAACCCTGGTTCTCGACTTCTCGTTATGCCAATTTCAACGTGGGAATTCAGCTAAGGCGGATGCCTTCTTATCAGTGGTTCAAGCAAGGCACAAGTCACCATAAAACTCTTTGGGAGGTTTGTTATGTCTTTTTTTCGCTAATGCCCTGCTGAGGACATCCGTCCGGGCGTGTCCATCCGAACTCCCTGTTTTTGGGCCTGCGCAGCTACCGGGCCCAACAGGCAACGGGTTTGCTCCATCTACGCTCTCTCGTCTATCTCTACACAGCGACATCCGACAGAAAATCCCCCAACTCCCCACACGCTTCGCTCATCGCGGCTCACCGCGCCGTCCACCCACCCCAAGCCACCTCGCCGCCACGCGGCGCCCCCATCCTACATCGTGCCGCGCCCACTCCATCTCGCTGCGCCCCATCCCCACCGCGCCGTGCCCTGTCCCCGCCCCTACGCGTCGTGCCCCGTCCCCCGTCCGCTGTGCTTCGTGCCCCATCCCCCGCCACGTCAAGGTGCTACCGACGCTGCCATTCCCCTGGCAGATGGAGGAGCTTCATGTGACGCCGCCCCGCTGGCGAGTTGCCCACGCCGCTGCCGCACCGGCGAGCTCCATGCGTCGCCGTCGACCTCTACGCCGGCATCGAGCTCCGCAACAACGAGCCTCCATTTCTCCAAACTGCAAGGTGACATTGCGCTGAATGCCCATGTTGCAAGAGTATATTTCAAGTGTTTCAGATGTTTCATCTGGATGTTGCATGTGTTTCATCTAGATGTTGCAAAAGTAGATCGGGATGTTGCACATGTTGCAATGGCTATATTTCCAAATGTTTTATCTGTTTTTGAAACGTATGTTGTAAGTGTGTTTGTTTGGATGTTATATATGTTTCATACATATGTTGCAAGTGTTTTATCTGGATGTTGCATATGTTCTGCAATGGCTTTTCATGTGTTTTCAGGTGTTTTGCAAGCGTTTCAGATGTATGTTTCAAATATTTCATCTGTCTACAGACGTATGTAACAAATATTTTGTCTGGATGTTTCAAAAGTAGATCAGGTGTTACACATGTTGCAATGGTGCCAGTGGCTGGTGGACAGCGGCCTGTCGCAGGGCTTCAGCTCCTACCTAGTGCGGCATGCCTCGCCCTCTCCTCTGCTCTCCCTCCCCAACCGGCCCTTCCCTCCATCTCGCCTCGGCGTTGGCATTAGCGTTGGGGTGAGGGTCATCGAGGGTGCAGCATGCGTTCGGGCGCAAGCGCTGGCGTGGGATGGGATGCGGGGCGCGGGATGCGATGTGGGCGTAGGTACGAAAGCAGCGTTCGGACGAGTCCTATGACCGGACGTCCAGACGCTAGCCCTTCCCGTTTTCTTGAGGTATTTTTGTTTCCTCCCCTCTAAAATAACCTGGACCATTGCCTGCTGCTCGCGAGTCGCTGACAACCTCATGGCCTGAATCATCTAAGATGATTTTTTAGGTATGGAAAGAGAGGAAAACTTAATAGCTGAACGAATACTTTTGACCAGAAGTGTGGAAATACTCGGGCACCGAAACGAAACCGCGAATTGCATTATGGTGTCGTTGTGGGTAGTTTTTTTTTTTTTTGGTGCGTGGGTGGGGGGCACCGAAACGAAACCGCGAATTGAGTCGCTGACTAGAAGTGTGTGTAGTTGGGTTTGGGTCACACCACACCTGACGCGCTTGCGAGTCGGGCCGAGGCAGCGAGGCACACGTACACGTTGGATCCAAGAAAGTAGACAGGGAAGGGTGACAGGACACAGGAGCTTTCCTCCTTTCTTCGCCTGAAATCTCCTCAATCCTCATCCTCGCGTCCATTTTGGTCATTTCTGGCACATGTAACATGTTCAATAACTCCTCATTGCAGCGTATTCAAAACTGAATTTCCAACATGATTGGGCCAAGACCGGCATGGCAATTTTTGCAGCCGCAAAATAACAATTTTCTGAATGAGACTAGATCACCGAATCAATGTCTACTGCATCAGAATTCATCTTTTCCCCCACCAGAAAAGTTAGCATCAGAATTCTTGTGAGAACACACCAGCCATTGTACATCCATCCACAAGAACTAAATACAGAAAAAGATCAAGTATTTGCAGCACAGTCAGGAGGGTCTGCTGCTCTCTGAGACATAACACACTCAGAACAAAGCTTTACATCAGTATACCGTGCTTTGGCCGCCAATCGGCTAGAATCGATTTGGCAATACCTACTCAATTTCCACCAACTGACAGGAAGAACTGAAGCTGGAGGTGTTGAAACTCTTCTGCAGTGCAGACAAAAACCATGCTTCAATATCTCGACTATCTCTACCTGTAAGAAGGCAACAATCCTGCGGGGAGCTCCCAGTCGTCATTCTCCTCCTCATCAGTGGTCTGCTCCTTCGGCCCCTGATCATCACTGAAAGGGAATGGGCCCTTGAATCGCCTGCAGCAGAGTGATTGGGTTCAGTTAGCAGGAGTCAGGAGTTTCTTATATCGTTGCTACAACTCAAATGAACTGGATGTACTTTGAAAGGACCAAAAACAATTATCTCTTTCAAAGGGAAATGTCATTGATGTCAGATTTTGCAAAATTCAGCATAAAGCTTGCTGAAACTTTGGAATGGCAAAAAACAAACATGTCTTCACAAAGGGGAGATGCCCTTGATGCTAGGTTTTGCAAAATCCAGCATAAAACTTGCTGAAACTTTGGAATAGCAAAAAACAAACATGTCTTCAGAAAGGGGAGATGCCCTTGATGCTAGATTTTTGCAAGATTCAGCACAAAGCTTGCTGAATGTTGCAACAATGGGTATTCGATCAGGCATTTCCTTGTAGTTGAACATGCCAGGGATGTACAATCGTGTATTCATGATCAAGAATAACACCCCGCTTTTCAAAAGGTGAACAAGAGTTATACCGGTGTAAAATATGATCACGATGGTACACAAACAGCCTAAATACCAAAAACAAAAATAGGATCTTGAATGGACCATTTCACATGCACAGCTATTTCCATTCAGAAAAAGATCGGTGCTGGGATGCTAATGTCTGTAAAACTAGCTGTCCCACCATGAGGATCATGAATGTCAACAGTAGAATGGTTGGCAACTTGGCATGCTAATGCCTAATGAGTTTGGCAAACAAACTATTGCTGTCAGATATTCGATCACATAGCATCCTAATGTAGTGCTCTATGTACAACAACTTGCACATAGGATATGTACATAAAATCAGTCACTAACACTTGCAGTTTGGTCTAAAACTAAGCTAAAAGGTCATAAAATCAGCAATCATATCATTTACTATATAGCATCTAAAATTCTAAGACAGAAAACACAGAATGACTGAATGAGAGAGACCACATCATTGATCCCAACTACCCAAGCAACTATACTGTACGCACGAATCGACAAAGCATATCGATCAAGAACGCACCTCCGGCGGAACCTCCTCGCCGCCGACCGCGCCTTGCACTTGCGCTTGTCCCGCGCGTCCTCGTGCCTCCTCCGCCTGATCTCCTCCATGACGCCCGCGCGGGACACCTGCCAGTTGAACCGCCGCAGGAGCTCCTCCCCTTCCACGTCCTCGTCTCCCGCGTCCACCTTCGCGTTGTGGTACTTGGGGTTGGCCGCCGGCACCAGCGACAGCTGGGAGGGGGCGGAGAGGGCGAGGGTGGTGGCGGGGAGCGGCCGCCGCGGGAAGGAAACGAAGGTGGCGTTGGAGGAGGGGAGGCGGACGCGACGAGTAGACGGTTGCGGCCGCGGAGGTGGTGGTGGTGGCGGCGGCCATGGTGGTGGTGGACTGGTGGTGATGCCGGCCGGCCGGCGAAGACGGATCGGAACGAGAGGCCTCGACAGAACGAACCCACCCACTGTTTGTAGAAGGACCTTGTTGATGGGCCTGATGGGCTTTCTCTTAAAGGATTTAGCCCACGGATCAGCCCAGTGCGGCTGAAATCTGCAGGCCGGATAGTGTTCAACGGGCACTGCAATTCCCTCCTGAAGTGATAGTGATACAAGTTCTTGCTCCACGTTATTATGCACCGATGGATCCAAAACACTTTGCAAAGGTTACTTTGATTAACCGCCGTGCAATAATGCTCTTCCGTTCACATCTTTTAATTTTGCTTATACTCCAAGTTTACACAAAGATTATTGCAGAAGCATAATTATATAAACGATCTACCTGACGTCCGGATGCATCGGACACAAGCCCACATCTCACTAAGCAGCTCACCACTCACCTTCCCTCACAAAGTCTTATCCATTCGCTCGCGTCCTGTGGCACTCCTGGCCTCCATCTCCTCCGTTCCCCTCTTCATCACCAGCAGTTGTGGTATCCTCCCCGGTCATCGATAGATCCTGTGTGAGCACCCATCCAGCCATACCCTTGTGCTCTCAGCCTCACTACTGGTAACCTTCGTACCTCCGCTCCTACCACCATCTTTCGCATGCTCTGTGTCGCCGCAGCTCCTCGAGGGGCTCGGCCCACCTGCGCCGCCCATCTAGATTCGTCTCGCCCACCGCGGCCTTCTCCATCCGCCCGTCGTGGCTGCCTTCACCGCGCCGCCTGCCTGCCTAGACTCGTCCTGGCTGTCGTGGGCCCATCTGCCTGCCACGGCCGCCTCCACCATGCCAGTTCGCCGTGCCGCCCGCCTGGATTCACCCAAGCAACAAGAACTTTTAAGTGTTTCAAACTTATGTTTCAAGTGTTTCAGATGGTTTAGATGTATGTTATAAGTGTTTCATATGGATGTTGCATATGTTGCGATGGCTATACACGTATGTTGCAAGTATCTGTTTTAAATGTTTCAACTATTTTCAAACGTATGTACAAGTGTTTTATCTGGATGTTGCATATGTTTCATATAGACATTGCAAGTATATGTTCCAAATGTTTCAGCTGCTCCAGACGTACTTTGCAAGTATTTTATGTTCCAAGCGAATGGGACGGTCGAAGTGACGCGATGCGCATCCGCAAGAGGCGGGGCACGTGGATTCCCACGTGCGCGCATGAAACGGAACACGCGCGGGCGGCCCCCGCATGCGTGTGGGAAACAGAGTGGGCGCTGGCGATCCCCGCGCGCGGGGGGAACAGAGCGGGTGCGGGCGCGTGGGCGGGCGGCGCATGAAACGGAATGTCCAGACTCTTAGCGCTAGGTCTCCAGTTATATAAAATATGTTATTACTTGGTAAATTTAGCTGTCATTATAAATAGAACACCTTGTTGTTATCTTTTGGTGATATATGCAAAGTAGAATGCCATTATTATCCTTGGAATTGGAAATAAAATATGATAGCCATCAATGGACATCACAGTAAATTGATCAGGACTAAACTCGTAGCATCTACTAGATTTAGTCATTCTCATTCCACTAGATATACCTGGGTCCAAATTAATGCTATATATTTTGAAAATTTGGAGGATTAGTCACAAGCCTAGGAGTTATTAATTATTGCTAAAATATAGAATAATGTTTTCACCGTCTATATTTCTGTGTGTCTGCTTGTAGGACATACATGATACATACCTCACACAGAAGCTCCACCATACACCGTGATTGCTGTGATAGAGGGAAGAATGGCGACTATAGTTGTGATGCCTATCCTTGGATGTTTCATTCTTTCACAATGTAAGTTCAGATCATAAAATCTGTTGAACCATAGTAATTTCCTGGACTTTCACTAGTATATAATAAGTAATATTGTACACATATGCGTTCTTTATTCATGCATCTAATAACAATTAATTAACTATTGTGCAGCTCCAACACACAAATCCAGTTGGGAGCGACAGGGGAACTTGCGGTTGCATCAAGGCGCTACCGTCGTGCAAGCGCAATTGCTTCTGCTGTTTATATTATTACCATAGCGGCCCCGAGCTATGCTTCGAGACAATGAATAAGTGCAAAAATCATCGCTGCACAGCATGAGAAGGCACGCCTCTTGTTATGGGCAAGGACGACTAATAATATTAGGGATGAATATGAGCCGTAAATGTTCACTGCCTAGTAATAATAAAAAATAAAGGATCACCAACAGGTTTTTTTAGCTTAATGGAATAATTTATGCTTCTCTGCTCTATCAGCCCTTTGGGACTCTTTGTCAGATGGCATCCTAATGTTGTGCTTCATGCACAACAACTTGCACATAGAACATGTACATTAAATCAGTCGCTAAAGCTTGCAGTTTGGTCTAAAACTAAACTAAACTAGTAAACTGTCATAAAATTAGCAATCATATCATTTACTATTTGCACCTAAAATTCTAAGACAAAGAACACAGAATAACAGACCACACCATTCATCCCAAGTTCCCAACTATACTATATGCACTGTTCGTCTTAAAAAACTAGTATACTATCTACTATCATTATGCCAGTTTGGTTTAGCCGCCAGGAACAGCGTCCACGTCACCCAAAAAATTTCATCCGTCCGATCTCCCCTCCCGATGCCCAGGATTGTTTTCGCTGGATTCTGTTAGAGCAGCTTCTCCTTCTTGAGTGCAGCTTCACCGATTTCGCCTCTGTTTTTCTCTAACATCCATGGCTTCTCATCCGAATCCGGTCAGCCAAATATAAACCCGGCTCCTGCTTCTCCTTCCCGATGCTTCTCACACAAAAAAAACTCGCCCCCTCCTCCGTCTCACACCCGACGCTCGCACCTCGCGACCTCGCCCCGACTGCCTCCGACGGCAACTGGCGCGAGCGGTGCACGGCGGCTGCGGCCGCTCTCCTCCTTCTCCTCCGCCACGCATGCCCCCCGTCTTCCCTTCCTCTCTCCCTCTCTCCCGGTGTCGCGGCGTGCCTGTCGGGCCCCAGCGTCGCTGCCTCACCGCGCAGCGCGCTGCCTAGGCGACGACGTCGCTGGCTCCAGCAGGCACCGCCGACGCCCGCAGCTGCGGGTTCCTCCCGATGCGGCTTGCTCCTGCCAGTCTGCGTCTCGTCCATAGGTCACGAAACCCTAGATGCCTTCCTCATCTCTTCCCCACGGTTAAGGATGGAGGCGATGGACACAGGTCAGGTGACACAGCGGAGCAGAGCAGCCGTGCAGCAACCACCCAGTGATTTGAACCAGGTACGTACTAGCTATGTTCTTTATCTGATGCATACGAAGATCGATTTGCTTCATTTATGCCCTCGAGTCAGTGCCTGCTGGTTGTCTTATTCTATTTTATATGCATGTAAAGATTGATTCATGTTACAATAAGGTACTCCGGCGAGTCTAATAAAACCTGGACTCTAAAAAATTAGATGTTTTTTTACTTATATACACTAGGTTATACCCATATCTGAGTGAGATTATAGCATGCATACCTCCATTATTTCCTTTCAATGAGTTCCTTATTTCTTAAATAGTGTGGATCAACTTTCAGAAATAGGGATACATGGGTAGTTTCCATTAGGTACCAATATATCCTAAAAACAAAAACAGATGGATGTAGTGTCATATTCAGATCACAACAGCTACTCCTATCATGGAGTCATACAGTTCTTGCTAAATGAGGTTAAACTGACCATGAAACACATCATTGTGGTATCTTGTGGAGGACATCCATTTTAGTATGTATCAGCTGAGCCTACTAAAGTCTGCCTTGTATGACGTTTGATTGAGGAAAAAAAATAGCAAGTGTTTTGTTTCAGCATGTTACTTTGCACTGATTACTTTCTGTTTTTGGATATGGTTGACTGTTCTTAAGATAGCAATAATTCTTTGTTTTTAGCGCTACGCCAGCAATGGAACACTACCTTTACCTGATAGAAAGCTAACTTGTGTTGTTTATATTCTGTTTTATACCAGCCATGTCAATGAATTTTACTGTTTGGGTGAGTTATAGTGGTGTGGTGATCCATGAACGTTTTCTATTTATTTCAGTTGTACCAGACTACCAGGACACCATATCTATAGTTTGTTGTCAATCTCATATTGATACATACTGTCCAGCTCATTCATCCTGTCGGTGCAGAAAGTGACCAACAAGTAAATATTTATAGTTTTGCCGTACGTTATGATCGGAGGTGGCCTAGCACTCAATGACACATGGTTTATACTAGTTCAGGCAACGTGCCCTACGCCCAGTTTGAGTCGGTCGGTGACTTTATTCCTGAGCCCCGGTGCTCAAAGTTTGCAGTGGGGTTACAAACAAGAAGGAGAAATACGGAGGGTACAAGAGGTCCGGTCGGAAGGGCGGAGAGCGATAGGAGCTCCGCTATGAGCTAAGTGTTCAAGCGTGTGCTTGAGGTCCAAACCTGGCGGTTCTATGGTTGTGAACTAGTGAACTTGGTCGATCTAATGAGTCTCGAATCACCTGAATGTTGGGAAAGAGCACATCCCCTTTTATAGATGAAGGGGGTGGCCTTACAAGCGAGAGGGAGAGAGTTCGTATGCTTGTAAGTCTTGTTGCCCACGCTGGTGGATACAGGATGATGGTAGACGCCCACAACACTGTTGGATGTCAAATGTACGTGGGAGGTTACGTCGTCTTGTTCGGGTATGGCAGATGTCGGCACCTGCATATACTGTTGATGCCCAGAGGCATGTGAGGAGTTTCACCATGTGCACTCGGTATGGTAAATCCCGACGCCCACAACACTGCCGATGCCCAGAGGCATGTGGGGGGAGCCTTACCGTATGGGAGTTTAATGGCGCCTACAATACTGTAGGGGAAAATGTAGGCGCCTACAACACTATTTGTGTCAGGGCGGTTGCAGAGTACCGTTCCTGCAGGTGTATAGGGTATGGTCCCTGGTATCGTGGTTTGACTTGTGCGCCTTGCCCTACTTTCTACGTTCGTTGCCTGATCCTTTCCGAGCGGGCGTCGCCGGTCGGTTAGTCCCAGTCGGCTCTGGTTGCGCCAGTCGTAGAGGAGCAGTGAGCAGGGTCTTTGCATCCCCTGGTCGGAGACGTGGGGTCGGAGCCAGAGGTATTGCTCTGTCAGGCCTTCCGGTCGGAGAGACCGTCCGAAGGCGGGCTGGAGACCAAAGTGAGCGCTCTAGTCGGAGAGGTGGGCCAGAGTCGGAAAGCGGCGCTGCTTCTCCTCGGCCAGACCTTCCGGTCGGTTGATTGGATCGCCCTTCTGGCATGCTGTTTAGATACTTGGGCCGGCCCATGAGTTGCGTGCTGTCTGCTTGGGCTGAGCCTTCGGGGAAGCCGGTCCATGAGGGACCCTGGGTTTATGAACACGATAGGAGCCCCCGTGCCCCCGGGCGATTCGGGCAGAATCGTCTGGGGGATTTTTGCCTTGACGGCGGGTGCGCACGAGCGCACCTGCGGGTGTAGCCCCCGAGACCCCGGGCGGTTCGGGCAAAATTGTCTGGGGGGGTTTCGTGTTGTCAGCAGGGGAGGTTTTTGTTTTGTCAGCGGGTGCGCACGAGCGCACCCGCAGGTGTAGTCCCCGAGCCTCCGGGCGATTTGGGCAGAATCGTCTGGGGGTTGTTTGTTAGCGGACGTGTGTGCGTGTTTTTTCAGTCGAGGTGGAGTTTGTTTAACCAAGGTGTCGTTGCGCA